TAATATAATATTTAGAATAATGACTATATATGTACTGTTGACTGCATATAGTTTTAATCGCACGACTTGTTCAGTTGAAGACAGAAAAGTCATTATACAACTAGAAAGGGTTAAATCGAGTAACCATGACAACTAACCAGTAATTCCACAGGCCATAAGTATACCCACGTACATGGGTGACACCTTAGCGCTGATGTTTTCATCCATATATGGAATTCCCAAAGCGATCATAGGAGTTCAACCGGCGCCTGCTACAACCATTCCCAGAATGAACAGCGCGTAGTAAAGAGTATTGCCACTAGCGGCTTCTTCGTTGCAATCACTTTTCCCGCCAAAATCAGTGCGATTTGCCGCGCAAAGTCCCGAGTCACTCACAATGGCATTCGTGAGGGCACCTTATTGGTGTAGAACAAGACATAAATACGCCGTTAGTATTTTTTTAAATTCTTTTTCTTTTGGCGAACGCTTAGGACGGACATACCTGCGTCGTAAGGAGGCGAGACAAAATGTGGCAGGATGAAAATAAAGAAACCGATGCCCATTGTGAACAGGCCCCAGGCACAGAACACTGGCTTCTTTCGTGAGCCTCCGATATAGCTTATCAGCGGAGTTAAGATCATGGCTGCTACGTCATAACTGCTGGTCACCATTCCCATCATGTAACTGTAAAATTTAGTTTTGAATATTATGGTCAGCGGTTATCACTAAGTTAACAAATTTTCATGCGTCCGTCCTGTTATTGATCATTAATTTCGTCATAACATTGTCAAAGTAGCTATGGATCGCCGAGTGGATCCGCAGGTTGTCTTCACAATGTTATGACGTCTTTTTTTTCACGATATCAAATTGTCAAATTGTCCGCTCTCAATCGTTGACGCATCGCATAAATTATGAATGCATGCGTCTGTCCGCTTATTGACAATGAAATTAGCCAATGAGAGCGCGAGAATTTCTGCAGTTATCGTAAAACATTGTATTTTGTGTCTATAGTGAACACTATGGAAACCATTCCCTGTGTTTCTATCGACATTTGTTTATTTATTTATTTCATGCGCAACAAGTTACAACACACTGCTTAAACCATACTACGTATAAAATAATACTATAATACTTATACTATTAACAATACGGTAATAAAACGACTTGAAGAAATACGGAACTACTTACAATACGATATTACTAACATGACGATACTTATACTACTGAGAACAATACTAATACTACGATACAATACAATTACTTACAAATTGATAAATTTGCGTGACCAAAATAGATAGTAACAATATTTGTATTTTTGCACAGCTGGCCTCCAATTTTTAATTGTTTAAAAACTTGAAGTTGGACCATTTTTTAGTAAAAGAAAATAGTTTATTTGTCGTAATCGCGATGTATTTCCGTAATTCAATTTTTTCATTAACGAGCGTCACGAAATCTGTGAGCTGAGGTCTTTTTTCATCTTGTATTGCGATAATGTAAAGAACTTCTTTACATTAATGATATTTTCCAATTATGATCA